CCCCCAATTGGCAAGGTAAACTTGGCAAGGATTCACAATCTTAAATTTCACTTTATTTGATTTACTTTTTTGTTTAAAGGGAAATTCATTGGTACGTTTTCACTGCAAACTGACTATAGGTTTTCTGAGGACAAAAATCCGTAAAACAAGAAATAAAATTGGTCTGGCCAATGGTCAAAGCGGCATTAAGAATGATAAAAACAATTTCAGAAAAGTCTTTTTATAATAGTTTGATTTCTGTGCACTGGCAGTCCTGAACACATACAGCCAATATAAACTTCACACTTTGGGATACACAGGTGAATGATCAGATAATTTAACTCTGTGAAATATTAACATCCATAGAGTATGCATAAGGCGGTTCAACATCTGTGTGACAGACATTCGCAGTAAACTATTAATCAATAACACCAGCTGTGTCCAACTAGTTGTGTAAATGGCCGAACTCTGGTTATCTGTTGATTTAATGAAATATCAATAACCCATTTCTCGCAAGATTTAAACAATGTCATAGCATAGATGTATTATGGTTGCTTGTGTATGGTACCATTTAGGTTTCTGGTGAAAGCCCTTATCAAGGAATAGTAATTTATACAAAACTTCATTATTAATCATTACTCCATGATAGATGTCCCAATACGGCTATGTCCCAATGTGCTAGGTATCGCGATCCTTTGTTAATGATACAATAATCATGATAATCATACTTTCTTAACAATACCACACACATTACCATATTTAATTGGCAGCAATATTGGTGAATTTTAATAGTGTTGAAACATCCAAAATATCTGGTCTCACTTTGAAAATAAATATTTCTCATTTCAATCAACTAAACTCAAATTTCAAATACAGAATATAAAACTCCTTAAAAAACTCATAATACAAAGTTTATAATTGTACATTCAGGGCTCGATTTAGTGCTTTGTTACTTGCACTGGTGCAACTCAAATCACAAAGTGCAACCTAGTTATTAGTCAAAAGTGCACCATGTGCAAGTCAAGTTTTGAGAAATAAATCAATAACAAATCTAAGTATGTCAGTTCATTTCTAAACTTTGAATAGCTATGGCACCAAAACATTGCCATTTATAGACACTTCTCGGCTATGACAGCTCTTGTAAACAGGGATCAGCTGCGTATCTGTGTTGCTGTGATTTCATGGTACTACGTCACGGAAATATGTTTATGTGCACCAAAACCTCTGATGTTTTAGCACACTACATTGCAACTGGAATTTGACTTGTGCAACTAGGTTTTTATCTTAGGTTGCACCTGGTGCAAGTAGGTTAACATCCCTTAAATTGAGCCCTGACATTGAATACCCTAGATATACCATACATATGTAATAATGAATATGTTTAATACATTGTAAGTGGAACCCCCTTTTGTCAACAAAGTCACTCCATTGCTGTTGTAAATATTCCATGTGTGAAATAATACTCAATTTAAATGTGAATCGATACGGATGAGTGAGTAGCATATGTTGAATCACCTGAGTATATTATCAAAAGTGAGTGAGTGAGTTTAGTTTTACGCAGCACTCAGCAATATTCCAGCTATATGGCGCGCCTGTCTGTAAATAATCGAGTCTGGACCAGAAAATCCAGTGATCAACAGCATGAGCATTGATCTACGCAATTGGGAACCGATGACATGTGTCAACCAAGTCAGCGAGCCTGACCACCTGATCCCATTAGTTGCCTCATACGACAACCATGGGTTACTGTAGATCCATTCTAACCCGGATCGTCATGGGTTATATTATCAAAAGAACAAGGGTTATCAATGATTTTAATAATAAGTGCTTGTGACAGGAAAATTGGGGAAAACGACTAAAAAAGACAATGATAGAGATTATTAATACACTTGGTACGGTAATTGTTTCATCAGTTTCTGAGTTTAACACTATAACCATGAAACACTATAACCATGATAACAGCTTGTATGTGTTGAATAATTCGTTATGGCAGTGGTCTGTAAATAATTGAGTCTGGAACAGACAATCCAGTGATCAACATCATGAGCATTGATATTTATATTCAGTGAAACAATAACAAAATGAATTCTTTGACCATGTTGACAGTGTTATCACAACAATTACCAGTGACTGCAGTACTGTCAAACTAAAGATACAGGGTGTGAAAATGATAATGATGATTAGTGCTGGAGCCTTTGATCGAATAATCGGTCAACTGATTGATCTTGGCAGATAAATCGATATTCATTAACTTGAAACATTAAACCAAGACCTAAACAACTGATACAGTTTCCTGACTCTGAAACTGCAATGTAAACATTGTGAAACACTTGTGTGCGTGTCTCAACAGGAAGCATCCTCAATAGTCTTGATCGTGGTATTAATTGGTGCCTTTTTCGTTTCATTTGCACAATGTTATAACTGTGTCCCGTTATTGCTCACTTTTAATTTTAGCTAAATTTGACTTCAATCGCCAGCGGCTGAAGGGGTGATATAAATCAAACTAGGGTCCATGCAGGTAGCAAAAGTACTGTAAGTCCCCATGGTCCCTAGTTTGGTGATCTACCTTCAGTTGTTGGCGATCTATAGCCAGTTTATATATTGTATTGTCCAAATAGTGCTATTAGCAGGGATAGAAATACTTTTTTTTCTAAGTGTGCCTTAGGGCACCAGACAAATAGTTTAGGTGTGCCTTTCAGAAATTGAGTATGCCCACGTTTTTAGAATAAATGACAATGATGATGATCATTTGAAATTTATTGTTAAATAAAGAAATGGGTTTATGAGCATTCAAATATGTATGGTATTATTTAATTTGGAAAAAAATAATTGTTTTAGGGATTAAATGACTAAATGTGAGTTATGTCTCTGAAAAATCAGGCGTGTCAAAAGGGCACTGAGAACATTTTTTAGCCGTGCCATTTCAATAATTACCGTGCCATGGCACACTAATATATGGGGTATTTCGAACCCTGTATTAGTTTTAATTTTCCACACTAGTTTAAGTTGTAATTCTGATAGTCTAGTTGTTTTACTGTCCTTCGTCGACAGGTTTTTATAATATACATCTGTTCCATTTCAATGTCACATATGTTTTCGTACGATATGGCTGAAATATTGCCGATGTGATGTTAAATAATAACTCACTCACTCATGTTATTGCTCACATGGGTTTTGTGGTGGGGTTTATGAATACAATCGATTATTGACTGATTACTGAGCTCTGATTATAGATCTTCATATTGTGAGCAATACCATGCACTAATGATAATGCTTATTAAATTTAACAGCAAAAAGCGTGTTTCCTTCTGCCCTCTCCTTCATACACTAACTCACATCACCCATATCATTATTAATTTTGCCTGTAATCATAGTAATCTACTGATTCTACACTGGGCCACTGTTTTCCTGATTCTATACAACCTGATTCTTATTTCTTATTATCATTCAGGCATATCTATGAATAAACATCTTGCCACAATTCATGGAAGCACTATACATTGTACTTACACTGCACAGCCCTGATATAGCAACTTCGAACGAATCTTGTTGTTCTGTATCACTTCCATGATGTATGGTGAATTTACATTGATGATGATGATTTAGGGTTTAACGTCGGCTTTTTAGCTGTAGCCAATGTCGCCGACAGGAATTTACATTTTTTGACACAAACTATATATATACTATAGAAGCCTTGTATCTTAACTAGATGATCTCAAACTCATTTAAAATAAACAGGATGATCTCAAACTCATTAAAAAGTATGTTCTATCAAAACATGAGTATAAAGGGCTCCAATCAGGCTTGCAAAAACATCTTAATTCTTTAATTATACATGAAAGGGGATTAAGTAGTGATCAAAATGTGAGAAATGGAGAAACCTTTAATGTTTGAAACAACATCTAGGAACAACAGCCAATTAGGAAAGCGTAAATGCTATCAAAACAATGCTTGCAATGCTTGAGAAAAACATCTTGATCAAAGATCAGGACACACTAAAACTTTTAACTACAGCAATTTTAGAAGGATGGATTTTGTCCATTTTTCTGTTAAGAAGAGGTGGATTTTGTCCGGGGTTGCAATTTTGGGGTATATTTTGTCCGGGTGGATTTTGTCTGGTTACCACAACTGCACACTAATATCTGAAGCTACAAACAAATAACAATCTTCAGTTGATCTATTTATTGTACTGTATGAACAGAAGCTCCAAAGTAGCTGTATATACTCGGCGAGGAATAGTAGTAGTGGCCTCATCAAATCAGTTTCCATTAAGAATTAGACTGAGGTTAAGCATTTTATATAAAAAACCCACTAAACAAGACACTGAAATTTTTACTTTTTATTGAAGAGTAATGACAAAGCTCCCTTGACTTTCAAACTGAATTTCAAACATATTTCATTGATAGAGGTAGTTTTAAACCAGGGATTGGGAAAGGCAGGGGCCACTTTGCACATTAGAATAAAAAATTGCCCATTAAAATTTGGAAGTTTACAGTTGATACAGGGGCATTGGTCCATTCGAAATTCAGAAAATGGCTAATAATCCTGAAAATGGCCCATTGTCAAAGTTCTTTATCCCAATCCCTGTTAAACTGTTATTTGTTTTGTACTGTGCACATTTGTCTGTGCCAAGACTATGTGTCTTAACTTTGAAATATTACTTTTTATGCTGTGTGACATAATAACAGATGACAGTTATTCCACACCCTTTTAACCCCTATGACATCATTGGACAAACACAGTTCAAGAAGATGACATAAAACGTGTCAACACAATGTCACATGACAATCAATACAAATAGACATTACATAATTCTGCCACGTTTACAGAAATTAAGTGACAACATCCACACTTTCCTCTTTAACATTACAACTCAAATGTCGTTAATAGATTTTGCATGGCTCTACCTAATACCTTGGTAAAACATATCACACGATGATATGACACAGGTGTTTCACGTTGATTGCACACAGTAAATAATCAATCAAATTGAATGAACAAAGTAGGATGTGAATACTTACTCTTAATCCAGGGAAAGCTTTCTCAAACCCATAGAATATAGCTTTATGAGACTGCAAGTCGCCTTGTGTAAGCATCTCGTTTTCCCCTTCTTTAGTTTTTCCCTTGACTTCAGCTTCCAAACCCTTTTTCTCCTCAACGATAGCTTTGACTCGTGATCCTCCACGCCGAGCTAGTTCAACACTGACCGACAAAAGTTCTTTCATGCTAATTCTCGGTTCTTGTCTAAATAGCCCTGGAAGACCAAATATGTAAAAAGATATACTGATGATAACTGCCACGCCGACAGCTAAACCTACAGGATTTAACCGAACGTTCACCGGCGCCATGATTGCCATTTTGTAAAGCTACTTTAATTAGTTGCGTAATATATTTTACAGATACGTCTGAACTGAACATGAATCTGTCGTCTCTTTAATACAAAATATTTATGATGTTGCAAATATACTTAGAATTTAGCTGATACGAATACGCCGATAGTTGAACAAAATCCATATTATACGAAACTAAATAACAACAAACGTCAGACATGGCTTCAATGGAGGTAGAACTTCCCGTATTTTTGCATTCATCATCCCCATATGATTATGCTTATAAAGAATCTGTGAAATTTTTCACCTAGGCGCAGACTTCTTCATATGATTATTGCCCATTCTTAACTATTGACATGTGTGGTATTCTTGAATACATTGAAAAACAGGATAATGTCGGCAGGCATGAACATGAATGATGGGCCAATGTTTTGTTTTGGAAGGGGAAAATTGTGCACAATTTCGAGTTAAAATAAACACTGAACCCAGGAAATCATTCATAAAACGTGTACCTCTAGTTGACTCAGAAATTCTGCCATAACAGTTCCAAATGCCAGCACAAAACAGGATGTACAAACTATTATCATGTTAATGTCGAAATATTAAATGGCCAAACTAGTTCCGTGTGTATCATGAATATGATACGACCCCTATCATACAGTGGTTTTAAAGACGGATACAAATAGGTATTGAAGTTATTCCATATCTGTGCTATTACCATCAGATCCTACTTCTTTGGATGCATAGGTCCATGAATACAGTCTATCAGTAACAGATTGCAGTATTACTGCTGATAGAGTAAATTCAGTAAAGCCTAGGTAGAAAATAATATTTCAAGATCTAGACCCAACCAGTTTTTTATCATTTATGGAACACGGCACAGTGTTTCAACTGTGGTTTTCAATGAAATATTTCATGTATGATCTACTTTATTCATAATAATAATACTAATAGTATGCGAAAAGAAAGAAAACACATGAAAATCTTGGAACACTCTTGCTGTATGATCGATGATTTTCTATCCAGTGTGAACTATGAAGCCCTTAATCTGTTGTATTAATTTGCTTACAAACAGTAATTATGTTTGTCAGCCTGTCGTGTGTTTCCTATCTTAGTAAATATTGCAATGAAATGCAAACAACTAATTTAAGTGGCATTGAGAAGTGAAACACTTATCAGGGAAAATTTATGAATGTCATCTTCTTTATTATGAGGAACTCCACATGGGTACAATGTGTAAAACCCATTTCTGGTGTCCCCAACCATGATATTGCTGGAATATTGCTGAAAGCGCGTAAAACTAAACTCACTCACTGTTATGAGGAACACAACCAGAGTAGATACTGACACCTTTACCACTTGATCAATGAGCAAGAATGTATTCTTAAAGATCATGTTCCTTATGACTAAGATGTTGACATGCATGAATTTTCACCCTTATATCCAGTTATAACCAACTATTCCACCCCCCACCATGACTGCCCCAAAGCTAAGGATAGTCACATGTTCCAGCTTTAACATGTTTATTTAGGGCTAAGTTAGTAAGGTAGAAAATAGGAAAGTACAAACACCCCTAGATGACACTGAAACACTATGATGCCTTATAGCTAAAACACATGGAATTATGAAACGGTCCTCCTATTATCAGAAATTTGCGGGCCGCTGCAAATGATATTGGACCGCTCAACCATAACGACGGGCCACTATCAGTCCTGTTGTCAAGTGACGTCATAGTGGGTGCGTCGGTTCATTCGACTTTGGCTTTGGACTGGCAGATATTCTGGGGCAAACAAATCAAAGCAACCCGAATTCCCGCTTTAAATAGCGGTAATATTGGCTTTCTTGCTGGTGCTGACCTTAACAATTGCACTATTAACGTTGTTGTTGGACCAAAACCGAACACTGACAACTGACGTTGTGTCTGACATAGTTTGACATGTTGCAAGCCATGGTCTTGTCAAAGGCCAAGGTCGAATATCATCACGTTCTGTTGTGACGTCACTTGAATTGTTCGATGATGTAATTGCATTCGGTCAGTCAACCCCGTCAGAGGTTGGTTTTGAGTAAACTTACAGTCAAATTCCTTCATTGTTTCCTTTTTCTTTTCAACACAAATTCTATGTATTTTAGCAATAATAAAGGTAATGCTATTTTTGAGGGCATTATCATTTGCAGAAGCCCTCAGCATTTTTCAAATGCCCTCCTTCGTCGGGCAGTTAATGGAAGACCTCGGGCTTCTGCAAATGATAATGCTCTCAAAACTAGCATTACCCTTATAATAGTAAGATCTGATAAGATAGCACTCCCATCATCATAATTGTCCTGAAAGAAATTAGGGTCATCTCATCACAAGGTCTTAGGTCATTGATAATCACATAAAAATATGTAGGAAAATCATAAACATAAAAAACATCATATGTGGCACTGACTAGTCAACATGGTAATCCAGGAAGGGCAAGCTGTATCTCCTTTTGGACTGTCACTTTAACAATTAGACAGAAGAGAACTATGCTCATGATAGTATACTTAGTTCCTGCACTTATCCTGATACAGTCGGACCCCGTTTACTTGGACCCCATATATCCGGACAATTTTTAGGTGAAACGAAACTTACCTTCAGTAATTGTACTCGCTTAGCCGGACCCCGTGCTTCCGGACCCGGACGGAGAATTTTCAAACCATTCCCATAGATTTCCATTGAAAAATGATCCTGTTATCCGGACAGAAAGCTCTGTATGCATGTGCATATGCATGTGTATGTTATTGCACGACTAAGTGCATTCATTGTTAATCTCTCTCGGCAGGCGTTTGATGTGAATTGATTACTTACCCATCAAAACACTAGGGACGCGTGTCACTTCAGTTGTTAATTAGGATTTGGCAGGTGTGAGAACATCTCATCAGTAACGAAAACACATGCTAATTAGGATTAGGATTAACTACATTGTAATTGTACTATATATAACGTCTCGTCAATATACATAGTCAATACGTTTTGCTTGTTTGATCCCGTTAACCGGACGCCTCGCTATCCGGACGATTTGCGAGTGTAACCAAAATGTCCGCATAAATGGGGTTCAAGTGTATATGTGTCTGTTCAGATGTGGTATATTTGTTCACAACCGGTAGATGGGTGGTGGGGTAGCCTAAATGATTAAAGAATTCACTTGTCACGCTGAAGAGCTGGGTTTGATTCCTCACATGGGTACAGTGTGTGAAACCCATTTCTAGTGTGATATTGCTGGAAATTGCAGTGGAATATTGCTAAATATAGTGTTAAACCCAGCTCAATCACCAATTCTACAGTTGTACTGTCAGGCCCCTGTTGTACAGTTGTACAGTAATACTGATAGGCCCCTGTTGTACAGTTATACTGATAGGCCCCTGTTGTACAGTTGTACTGTCAGGCCCCTGTTGTACAGTTATACTGATAGGCCCCTATTGTACAGTTATACTGATAGGCCCCTGTTGTACAGTTGTACTGTCAGGCCCCTGTTGTACAGTTGTACAGTTATACTGATAGGCCCCTGTTGTACAGTTGTACTGATAGGCCCCTGTTGTACAGTTATACTGTCAGGCTCCTTTTGAACAGTTGTACTGATAGGCCCCTGTTGTACAGTTGTACTGTCAGGCCCCTGTTGTACAGTTATACTAATAGGCCCCTGTTCTACAGTTGTACTGTCAGGTCCCTGTTGTACAGTTATACTGATAGGCCCCTGTTGTACAGTTGTACTGTCAGGCCCTGTTGTACAGTTATACTGATAGGCCCCTGTTGTACAGCAATACTGATAGGCCTCTGTTGTACAGTTGTACTGATAGGCCACTGTTCTACAGTTATACTGATAGGCCCCTGTTGTACTGTAAGGCTCCTGTTGTACAGTTGTACTGATAGGCCACTGTTCTACAGTTATACTGATAGGCCCCTGTTGTACTGTCAGGCCCCTGTTGTACAGCTGTACTGATAGTCCACTGTTCTACAGTTATACTGATAGGCCCCTGTTGTACTGTCAGGCCCCTGTTGTACAGTTGTACTGATAGGCCACTGTTCTACAGTTATACTGATAGGCCCCTGTTGTACAGTTGTACTGATAGGCCACTGTTCTACAGTTATACTGATAGGCCCCTGTTGTACTGTCAGGCCCCTGTTGTACAGTTATACTGATAGGCCCCTGTTGTACAGTTGTACTGATAGGCCACTGTTGTACAGTTATACTGATAGGCCCCTGATAGGCCCCTGGGGCCCGTTTCACAAAGCTCTCGTAAGCCTAAGATCTCGTTACTTTCCTCGTAGCATTCGTACCTCCTGTACTGTAACATAGGAGGTACGAATGCTACGAGAAAAGTTACGAGATCTTAGGGTTACGAGAGCTTTGTGAAACGGGGCCCTGTTGTACAGTTGTACTGTCAGGCCCCTGTTGTACAGTTATACTGATAGGCCCCTGTTGTACAGTTGTATTACCAGACACCAGTTGTACAGTTGTATGTTTTGTGTGTTGTAGAAGCGGCTACAGAAGGAGCTGCAGGCGCTCCTCAAGGACCCACCTGTCGGGGTGAACGTGGACACAGACAGCATCCAGAAGAACCTATCAGAGTCAGTATCATTCTTTCTTTCCAAGTTCCATGTCATTGTTCATGGGAATCATATGTTATATTCTCTGCCTTTGGAGGGAAAATCAATGCCATCTAAAGGCACACAATTTTGTGCATGCCAGATTTCCTTTGGTCATGGAAGATCCAGGTTAGAATTGGTGTTCAGTAACCCATGCTTGTCGTAAGAGGTGACTAACGGGACCGGGACATGTCATCGCATCCCAATTACGTAGATCAATACTCATGCTGTTGATCAGTGGATTATCTGGTCCAGACTTGATTATTTACAGACACCAACCATATAGCTGGAATATTGCTGAGTGCGGTGTTAAACAACTTCCACAGCAAACCTTTGGTCATGGGGAAAACTTATTTGCCCTGATTAGAATTATACCTGTAGGGTGCAACAAAGTATAAAGTGCTTGACCTGCATTGCTTTGGGCTTTCCAGCCATATTGTGGGGACACACTGTGTTATGTTTCACAGGGTGGAAGTGCTGTCCACGCCAAATGTGGAGTTGTCCCAAAAGCACTCTGAATGAAGACCTAAAATAACTATTTCTAAGAAAAAAAGGCGTGTCTGCTGATGAGGTTGTCATATTTTGTGTTGAAACGATCATTTTCCGCGATCTTGTTTCGACACTCAGGAGGGTGCCCTCGCTTGATGCACAATTGCAATAAATAGAGAGGGTGTCAAGCTATTATAGAAAGATCTGTAAATTTCTAGACCCCTCTGCCAAATGGCAAAACCTGATATACTTGCAAAACAATGAAAATGCGAGGGAAAACTTACCATTACTCTTGCGCCACATGTTCGTCTTTCACTGTCCAGCGAGGAAATGGAGTTGCTTTTGGGGCAACTCCACATTTCGCGTGGACAGCGCTTCCACCCTGTGTGTTTGAAATACTGTTCAAAGCAGCTGTAAGTCAAACTTGCTCACCGTCTGGTGCCTGTTGCTGACGTCCATTTTACAGATGTCCATTTTATAATTGACATCCGTTTTGCTGATGTTGCAGTCGTCAACAATGCTGAAATCCTGTTGCTGAAGTTAATGTTTAAGCTTGCATGCATTTTGTTGACAAGGGTGTTGCTGACATGCATACTGTTGACATGGGAGTTGCTGACATGCATACTGTTGACATCAAAGATGATGACACATGTTGGTGTGGGGCGCTGGAGTAGCCTAGTGGTTAAAGTGTTCACTCGTCACGAAGACCCGGGTTCGATTCCAAACATGAAGCCCATTTCTGGTGTCCCCCGCCGTGATAATGCTGGAATATTGCTAAAAGTGGCGTAAAACTAAACTCACTCGTTCACTCATGTTAGTTATGTCTGTCGCTGAAGTCTTAATGTCCGTGTTGCTGACATGAATACTGGCGACATCCGTGCTGATGACTTGCTTTCCGCTGATGTCCATGTTGACCACACACAGGTGGATTGTCTACATCAACGGTGCTCCTGAATCTCTGTATGAAGGCGAGAACTTCAAGCTTCATTTCAAGTTTGGCTCAAGGTACCCCTTCGACTCTCCCCAGGTAAATTAATCAGGGTTATCCTCAATAAATTTACAGTTGGCTCATTAAGTTAATTAATAAAGTGATTTCAACCACCAACATGTATTTAGGTACAGTGACTCTCATTCCCTGTGAAATAGTTCAATCCAGCAATAACTATTGTGTGGCAAGCTCTGGGGGTTTAACGCTCATAGCAAACCTTGGATTTTTTTAATCATTCACAATGCATATGTTATTTGTCTTGAGTGCAATAATCACATGCTTCTTACATTTCTTGCTATGTCCGGGGCGGTGGGGTAGCCTAGTGGTTAAAGCGTTGGCTCGCCATGCCAAAGACCCGGGTTCGAATCCCCAGATGGGTACAATGTGTGAAGCCCATTTCTGGTGTCCCCCGCCGTGATATTGCTGGAATATTGCTAAAAGCGGCGTAAAACCGAACTCAGTCAGTCAGTCAGTCTTGCTATGTCCCTTTGATGATCAATATGCAGCCTGTTGATTACGTTGTAGAATACCTTTGTAAGTCCCAAGAAGACACAATCATCATATATTTGATTTTCAGAATTGGTCTGTAGTGTCTGTGTTAGTCAGCTCCATACCCATGCTTTTGGTAAAATGTCAAAGAACAGCATCACCTTGAGCGTCAGGGCTACAGATAAGGGCCGTATCGGCGTATGTACGGATAAAAAATATACCGTACACGGTACGGTAGGAAATAATTTAGAAAACGTAGCAGATACGCACCACAGCAATTGTGTACGGTCTTAGAATCATTTACAGACATATTTATCTGAAAAAGTATTGTTTAATTGTTTATTGACCGTTTACACCAGAGTAGCAATGCTGTCATGCATATATGAAACGAAGCACAAGTTTAATGATACATCATTAAATTCCATTCAGTACTCTAAATGCACTCTTATTGTTTTCCAGTACTCATATATTGAAAAAATAAGGAGTACGTACTCCTGATGTTGAAAAATTATCTGGAGCCCTGAGCGTTCTTTCCACATGAAGCTTACATGCTGTAATATATCTGAAAAACTGTGAGTTAAAGTTGAAGAAATTCACAAACCTTTTATGGATATCAGTGATGTACGTAAAATCTTTATTTGCAGGTGACATTTATCGGGTCCAACATCCCTGTTCATCCACATGTATATAGTAATGGCCATATATGTCTGTCTATCCTGACGGAGGACTGGTCGCCAGCGCTGTCGGTGCAGGCGGTGTGTCTCAGTGTCGTCAGTATGTTGTCCAGCTGTAAAGAAAAGGTCAGTCTCTCACTTTCTCATGGATTCTAGGTTAGAGTTGCTCCTTAGCAACCTCTGCAGTGTTGTAGGGTAGGAAATGGATGGGTGGCTAGGTTCAGAGGCTTGGTTGAGTACTTGTCTTTGTATCAAATGTTCTCGTCACGATATGGCTGAAATATTGCCGATGTGACGTTAAAAATTAACTCACTCACTCACACTTGTCCTTGTACCCCAATTTGAATCTGTGCTCATAATATTAATCACTGGATTTTCTGGTCCAGATTCAATTGTTTACAGGCCATAGCTGGGATATTTGCTGAGTGTGTCAGTAAAAACAAATATGCATTACAACATGTTCTCAGGGAAACTCTGCAATACCTTGTCTCATTGCAGGGCAGTGGGGTAGCCTAATGGTTAAAGCATTCGCTCGTGGCGCCAAAGGCACGGTTTCGATTCCCCACTTGGGCACAATGTGTGAAGCCCATTTCTGGTGGCCCCCATCGTGATATTGCTGGAATATTGCTAAAAGCAGCGTAAAACTAAACTCACTCACTCACTCACTGCAACAGGGGTGGTGGGGTAGCCTAACGGTTAATGCATCGACTCGTCATGCTGAAGACCCGGTTCGATTCCCTACATGGGTACAATGTGTGAAGCCCATTTCGGGTGGCCCCTCCCGTGATATTGCTGAAATATTGCTAAAAGCGGCATAACATGACTCCTGTCATTGCAACATGTTTTCAGGGAATCTCAGCAATGTCTTGTCTCATAGCAACATGTTCTCAGGGAATCTCACCTATGTTACATCTCACAGAACATGTTCTCCATGGTCTAACAAAGCAAGTTTCCATGGGGTCTCTAAAACATGCTGAAAGGCTCTTTTATCTTGCATGAACATGTTTTCATTGCTTCACTCATTAAACATACTAAATAAATGCTTTGAAATATCCGAAAAATTCTATATATTTATATAACCACATTTTGGAATGTTTTTAGCATGCTCTTTTTAAGTTTGTGAGCAAGACATTTTATGCAAGAGCTATCATGATGACCTTACGTCTATAATGTAATGGTAAGCCCTACTGTCCCTTGAGACAGTTTTAGTTACTCTTTTGCTTTGATCTGGGACACTTTATGCCGTTTGACTAAAGGATGTGCATATTTCTCTTCTTTCAGAAGAGGCCCCCTGATAACGCAATATATGTGAAAACATGCAGCAAAAACCCAAAGAAAACAAGGTGGTGGTATCATGGTAAGTCACGTTTATCATTTGGGGAAAAACAGAATGAATGGCCTAGTGTATATAATACATTTGTAGAGTGCCTCATGTCCACCTCAAACTCAAAGACATTCAGTGGTGCTAAGGACAAATTATGCTCAAAGCACAGACATTGTAACCCTGGTTAGTCAAACTAGCCTGTATGATGCTACGTTAACAGTCATATGATTATCTTATCCTACCCGTTTACTGCTGGGTGAACAGAAGCAAGTTTGAACAAACTCACTTGCTTGCCACATGTGCTTCATTGTGGGGCAGATCTGAATTTCTAGAAAGTCTGGTGTGCCCCTTGATGATATTGCAGGAATATTGCTAAAGACGAGGTAAAACCAAACTCACTCACTTTGCAACATTGCTTCTGTTTCTGTTCCAGATGACTCTGTATGACACAACATCGTGGCAGTGTCTCTTGTTTAGTGGTACTACACGTGGGCCTGGCAAGTAATCCGTGGGCAACACCACCTCCTCCTGGCTCGCTAGACATATCAGCAGGCTGGGGTCTCCTGTTATCAACACTTGCTTCAGTCTTACACACTCTATGTATCGCCTCCTACCGGAACACATTGTTCGAGAATGCAGATGAAGGCACAGGTTCTGAAGAACAAATTTCATATTTTTTCGGTGTTTTGATAGTTTTAACACAAGTTTTACCATCACATCGCCGATTTGTAACCATAAGTTATTTCAAATTGAAAAAGGTATTCTATACTGTTCAAATGTGTATCTTAGGTATATAGTCCTGGTGTTATGTATTGTGAAGGGAGATAACTCTGTAATCTGCCAAGGGAGATAATGTTGTTGGCACTACTGAAGAAAGAAACCATGGGTTTCTGGTATTGATTTTCTTGCACCAATCGAAGGTTGATGTGTGTATGTGAGCTGGAAATGTTTACACCATCATGACCTATGAACAAATGTTTTTAAGTACGTTTTCAGTGATGTGTTTTTCACCGCAGCTTTCAAATGTTGAATTGTTCGGTTCAAGTTATTCGTCTGATCATACTAGATAGAATTTTGGTTTTCAAATCAAACAAGCTGCAAATATTCAGGTACAGACACTTGGAGTGTATATATGTATTCAACTATTGATGTACTGCACTTGTTTACAATATGATTGTACCATATTGATAGGAATTGAAATAGAATTGTCGATAGGACACATGAAAATTGACAGTTTCAATAGTTGCAGTGTTATAAATGTAACATAAATTATGCCGATTTCAAGCCTCACTGTGTGTTGGTTAGCAATGATTACAACTCCATATTACAGTTACTTCCCTTTGATAATAAAGGCAGGTACTTTTATAGATGACAGTATCTTTGTACTGTTAAACAGTTCATATTTCCCTTTGACCGGGGCAAAGTGGAAAATGGCCGACTTTGTCATTGTCAGTAGTACTAAATTCTTTTACACTAGTTAATATAATGCTGAAGCCTTTAAGTTGGTTTGATGCAGTCACACTGCTATAGCAGTAGTTGATAACTAGCGCAGTACTATTGTAATATAGTGTGGGCTACTATTGCAATGAAATAAATAGCCCTAATAGCCCTCAGAAATACCTTCTCTTTTTGTTATTTTGAATGAACGAAACTATCATTTCCTGGCTTGATAGAAATGACGTTATGTAAATAGAAAATATCAAATTTTGGGATTGCATTGCGGTAGACGATCGGAAGATTACTGTTGCAATGAAATAAATAGCCCTAATAGCCCTCTGAGAAATACCTTCCGTTTTTGTTATTTTGAATGAACAAAACTATCATTTCATGGCTTGATAGAAATGACGTTATGAAAACAGAAAATATCAAATTTTGGGATTGCATTACGGTAGACCAATCCGGAAGGGTACTCTTGCAATGAAATAAATAGCCCTAATAGTAATAGCCTTCTGAGAAATACCTTGCTTTCATGTTCAATTCCTCTGACCTACATATTTGATTATGATTGACAGATTGAAACAAGAAGCAAAATCTTAAAACATTTATTGAATGTACGCAAAAAAAAGTTAAACACACAATGGTGAAATATTTCATAAATTTGACACATCTTTTGAATGTTATTTATTAGATGACAGAACAATGTTGTGGTTGTCGGTAAAGTGTTTTTTTAAAGGTTTTGATGAGATAATTGTTATTTTTCACATGGTATTTATTTCTTGTTTACAGTGCATTAGCAGAAAGATTTTCTGCTATTTGGTTTGATCGATTCCTTTCTCTATAACATCTAATACCCCAGTATAATACTCATCTTTTTCAAGATCTGACCTCATAGGTCACACCAGGTGAACTTGCTAAATGCCCAGTTGGAGCTACTGTTTTTCAATTCTTGGTATGAATGAGCAAATCATTCAGACAAGTGTGACCGATTTCTGTGTCTTAAAATTAAAAAAATAGAGAGTTCTGACTTTAAAAAGAATAATGATATGTTATTGTAGACTTTTTAGCATCTTGTTATTTTGAAACATGTGGGATCTACACTCGAAAGGGTGTACTTTGAAGGTATTGTTTTGTTTGTGGATTTCCTTTCAGACTGAACATTTCTGAATTGTAGTGTAAAGAAATAACGCCAACTTATTTTAGTAAGCAGGCATCTGATTGGCTCAATAACCAATAAAGCCATCTTATTTCAGTAAGCTGACATCTTATTAGCTGAAGAACCATTAAAGCCAACATGTTTTATTAAGCTGACGTCTGATTGGCACATGACACTTGATTGGCTCAAGAACCAATAAAGCCAACATAGTTCAGTAAGCTGACTTCTGATTGGCTCAAGAACCAATGAAGCCAAATAGTTTAGTAAGCTGACTTCTGATTGGCTCAAGAACCAATGAAGCAGTTTAGTAAGCTGACTTCTGATTGGCTCAAGAACCAATGAAGCCAACACATTGGATTGGGCTTTCATTGCTTTCAATGTCCACTCAGGACTCACATTGCCCGTCCTGCTATGGAGATCTCAGATCTTAATACAAAGAAAAAGATTATTTGTGTAAAACATCAGTGTACTGACATTGCTTTCATTCGGAAGCCATCCTGTAACCTATACCCTTAAACATCAAGTCTTACAACTTGTCCTGGCTGTACCATCTTCAAACTGTCTGCTGTTAATGTCCAAAGCTGAAACGTAGTGGGAATTTCATTTGGAAAAAGCAAGAGTTGTTAGCACAGACACAGTTAGGAATGAAAGGAGATTTGTTTTCTATCATCATATATTGATATGACAGAGATATGGGTACTTTGCTAATTTGTGGGAGATTCTGGTCAGCTGACAGAATATCTGATGGATGTTTCTGATTGTATTGTTTAGATCATTACAATGTCGTCCGGTAATTCTGCGCACCTAAGCACATCGATCGCAACACAGCAACTAACTTCTCTAAATTTTTGTGGTTTACGTGACTAAACATGCTGGTATGCATCATATTTACCTAGAAATATAAGTTTTATTGACGACTATGAGATTCTAACGTTGCATTATGCCATGTGGTTGACCTTACCGGCGTTCTGACGTCATCGCTTGCTGTCCGGTAAATCTGCGCAGCAACTGATGCGCATAACATCCAGCTGGAGATCCGAAGTATGGAAGCATATAAGGGCCACATTATTTTCAAAAATCACTTCATCAATGTAAGGAAGAGTGTTTCATATTAAATCCCACTATGAATAATGAAGAAAAAGGTTTAAAAGTCTGAAGAAAACAAATTTTCATAAAACTGTCAATTTATGTCCATTACTGTTATTTACTTACCTTTAGTGATTAAAAGCCAGTCCCTTGTAGAAATGTCCCGATTTCAAGCATTAATGTGCTAGCAGACGATGTTTACCTTCGATACGGAAGTACGCTATTGCAGCTGCACAGAATTACCGGACGCGCTTGTATTTCTGTTTGCTGAGTCATATCCACATATACTGAGACAATTTGGCCTCCACACATTTTTGGCAGCCATTTTTGTTCTCTGTCTGGTTAAGTAGCAAAATATGGAAATATGCTCCTGATAAGAAAAATCAGTAGCAAAATGGAAAGTAAATGAATTATGATGTTATAGTGATTCTGGTGAAGTACTGTGTTCGATGTGGCTTCAGTTTGATTGTTAGACGAAAATCATCATGTGATTATCTTTATCATGTGTTCGATTCCCCACATGGGCACAATGTTAGAAGCCCATTTCTGGTGTCCCCCCCCTCCATGATATTGCTGGAATATTGCTAAAAATGGGCATAAAACTAAACTCACTCACTCACTCTTTATCATGTGAAAGCTGTGATGAATTTTTTTGTTCAGCTTTTCAAATCAAGATGGCTGCTTTATGTTTGGTGTAAAAATTTGTCAAATGTTCAGAGGAAAACATGAACTGGGATGTATTGTGTTTAAATAAACAGTATTTTGATGTCATCTTGAAAAATAGAATTGAGAATATTCAAAGAGAAATATAAGTAAGAACATGATATCAAAAGTGGTGCCTATGGTGTAAGGCAAAACAGCGTCCTTCCTCAATTTCCCTTATATGGGTGAGCTGCTGAACCTGTGGTCTAGCTTTCAGCAAACATTCAGCAACAATAAGTGTGCAATTAGAGTAGGCCGCTGAAACACTCAGGTTAGTTCGGCTTTCCAAACTGCAGCCATGTTTTTTGCCAGATGATGACATAATATTGTATTTTCAATGTCTGCTACCTCCAGACTCACCATGTTTAGGTTAGTGAGTACAATGTTGTATGCTGTGGAATACAATGTACAGTACAATGTTGTATGATGTGGAATACAATGTACAGTACAATGTTGTATGCTGTGGAATACAATGTACAGTACAATGTTGTATGCTGTGGAATACAATGTACAGTACAATGTTGTATGATGCCATAGTTCAAATATTGAATCAAATTTAGATAATCTGAAGTTTCTCAGTGATTTTTTTAGTTGGTTCATCTTAGAATTTAATGTAGGTGATAAATAAATTAAAATATTTCCAGCTTAGCACTGGAATATTGAATGTAAAACAAAAAACTTTTAACAGGCAAGGTAATTCATTGTTTTGATTTTATTAATGAAGATTTTTATGCATACAAATTCTTTACTATTTCCTTCAAACAAAGGTTTAACTTTCTTCCCAATTTGAAATTTGTCAAGACAATGTTTTTTCTCTTACTTACTTTATTTATTTATTTATTTTGTCAGTCAGCCTTATAAACCAACTGTAAAAATGATAAGGCTTTGGTTTAAATATGGGAAGTTCTTACATGAATACATAGATTTAAAAATATAATTGGGGCATGTGGACATTTCCTGTTTTCTGGGGCATGCCTTGCACAGTTGTTTTATCTCATGAAAAAACGTTTGATCAAAGTTTTGGATCCCTGGCATGCTCTTATTATGTTTTTGATGTGTCAGCACAATACTCTTGTCATGGTTTCATCTGAGTGGCAAATATCGAAGACCAGCATCACGTATGGCTTTCCTCCGATATCAAGCGTATCTGCCGTGAGAGATCATAATATATACTGTATGAGTAGGAATAGACCAAACTCATATTTCATGTTTTGCTGAGGTTATCACTTTGGCAAGTCCTGAGAGGTTTTACTTAGCTGTGAAACGGTATGCTCTTACTATGGTATGGTACGTATTTCGGTGCAAAGCCTTCCGTTCGGTCCATTTCGGATCAGTGTAAGAGACATGATAATAATGCAGAAAATTGACAACAACCAAACCCTACATTATTTAATAACATGGGGAAAAAATAATCTTTGTTGTTTTAAATGAACAAAACTGTCATTTCATGACTAGATAGAAATGATGGTACGAAAACCGAAAATACTGAATTTTTGGATTGCATTACGGTATACCGATCCAAAGGCAAAATACCATGGTTCTACTAATACTGTGCTATACTGTTTCACATCTAGTTTTACATGATTTCAGTGCTGGAACCAGAAATATGACTTCACAGAGTGACAGATATTTATAGAAAGACTCTCGTTTACTTGTATGACTCAATCATGTACACTTTATTATTCAGGGTTTGTATGGCTAAAACTTAGCTTACAACTTGATCAAATTTGGTGCTTTTTGTCTTTTACTTTGTGAAAAAGCTGTCCAGTTTGTCCTGATTGAATTAGTCTTGTTAAGGAGCAATGCCTGAGAATGTTTTTAACCTTATATGGTTAACGCTGCTTAGTGGTTCTTGGACATGTTAGCTCCATCAGCAGATGATTAACATTCCTTATGCTTTTGTGTGTCCAAGGTGATGTGATTCATACTAATGGTAATCATATTCTGTAGTGTTTGACAGACACATTAAAACCAGATCTTCCTTGGATGCAGAAAGGTCTGATTTTGATGAGATATATTTTTTGGCAAGTTGGCATTTATGTTTTGAAACCATATGGCTTGGCTCATCTATTCAGTTATTTTTTTGGCATAACCTTATGTGTATGTATATGTGTAAATATTTGTATGAGATTCAACCTTAGTACAAGGTGGATATGTACAGTGTACATCATGCTTACTTGTCTTTGTTGAAGGGTTTTTCTGGTCTTATTCCAGTTTCTTTAGTGGTGGATATTTTAGTATATGAATTATCAAAATCTATCTTCTTTGGAACAACGATAGCAGCAGGATATGAATTAGCAACTGCACCACCAACTACTACATCATCATCAGCAATTGCATCAACATCTACTGCATCAACAGCATCAGCACCAACTACTGCATCAACAGCATCAGCACCAACTGCTGTATCAACAGCATCAGCACCAACCACTGCTGCATCAACAACACCAACCACTGCTGCTGCATCTACAGCAACAACACAAACTACTGCATCAACAACAATGTCACCAACTCCTACACCAGCGACAACATCACCAACTACTGCTCCATTAACAACCACTACACCAACTCCTACTGCATCAGCAGGTTCTGAATAGCTGACTCTCTTCCCATGCTCTTTAGTCAGGGTTCAGGGTCAGGGTCAGGGTCAGGGTTAGGGTTGTGCCCCTTGAACATGCCAGGATCCTTGTGTTCCAATCTGAGTATGATCCTTAGTTTGGCAGCACCATACTTGGGTACATGTATCTACATAATGGTAAATGACTAAGAATTGTATAGCTTTGGCAGAGAGAGTGAGATTCATTTAAAGCCACATTGAACAGTATTACAGTTAAAACAAGGCATGTTAGCTTGACATAAAAGAAAAGCCTGAAATAATGCAATTCTTACCTGTTTACCATTTTATTTGGTGAAACCATGGGCAAGGGTGTCCTGCTGATAAACCTAGAACTATAATCACAGGAACTCACGATTTGAACCAATATTAATAGGTTACTGGCGTGCCCAAGGGAGACTACTCTGCACAAAGAACAGAGGCTCCCTGGATGAATCATAACTATGTACTGCTCAGCTTTCACTTCACTAATACTTATCTAGTAAAGCTGGTCAGTACACAGATGTGATTTCACAACCACAATACTGTATATGTCTAGTGGGGGCGGTGGGGTAGCCTAATGGTTAAAGCGTTGGCTCGTCACGCCGAAGACCCGGGGTTCGATTCCCCACATGGGTACAATGCGTGAAGCCCATTTCTGGTGTCCCCCGCTGTGATGTTGCTGGAATATTGCTAAAAGCAGCGTAAAACCAAACTCAGTCAGTCAGTCAGTCAGTATATGTCTAGTGCATCAGTGGACCAAGTTTATTCCTGAATTTCATTGTGATCTGTAATGACGATGAGTGTTAGGTACGTGTGTAATTCTTGTACATTTTCTTCCAAACATTTTCTTCTTGTTAATGTGAGTATGATGGCTCGTGTCCACGAGTTCTGTCACTGGTCACTCTGCTGATGTTTGTTGCATAGATCTTGCCAGACTTGAAGCACATTTCATTTCTTCCTCTGAGGGCACAGGTGGCCCAGTCATGAAAGGTGCTGTGCAGAGTTACATCCCTTGTGTGTACCAGGAACCTATGATTATGGATTCAAACCAGTTTGCCCAATTGTTTCGCAACCATACCTGTTCATGTGGGTTTTACATTGTTAACACCTGAATCCTCCATCTCTTGCTCCACCTTCCATCACTTTGGGCTTTCCTTCAACAAGGTGGCACCTAGTGATGAAGCTGGGAAGCTGAAATTGATTAAACACAACTCACTCACT